TGGACTTACCATATGATCCAGCATATATCCAGAGAAAACTATAATTTGAAGAGATACATGCACCCCAGTGTTCACAGCAGCATTATTTACAATAGCCAAGACATGGAAGCAAACCTAAATGTTCATCAACAGATGAATGGATAAAGAAAATGTGGTGTATATATATATACAATGGAATACAACTAGGCCATAAAAAATGAATGAAATAATGCCATTTGCAGCAACATGGATGGATTTAGAGATTATCGTATTAAGTGAAGTAAGTCAGACAAAGACTAATATGGTAACATTTATACGTGGAATCTGAAAAAAAAGATACAAATTCTATCTACAAACTAGAAACAGACTCACAGACATAGAAAACAAACTGTGGTTACCATAACGGGAAATGGGGGAGGGATAGATTGGCAGTTTGGGATTGATGGATACACATTACTATATGTGAAGTGGATAAACAGCAAGAACCTATTCTATAGGACAGGGAACTATATTCAATTTCTTGTAATGAGCCGTAATGGAAAAGAAACTAAAAATGTACATATATGTATATAGTATGTATGTATATGTATAACTGAATCGCTTTGCTGTACACCTGAAACTAACCATGTAAACTGACTATACTTCAATAAAAAATAAGAATAAAAAAAAACCTACATCATGGCAAATCATCATAAATTTTAGAATACTGAGGACAAAGAGAAAATCTTGTATTTCCAAAAGGGAAGAAAAAAATGGGGAAAAAAGTCACAGAAAAAATCAGGAAGCAGTATGACTTCAGACTGTTTAACAATAATAGTAGAAACTATTGAAGAAGACAATGAATACAAAATTTTGAAGGAAAATAATTTATAGCCTAGAATTTTATACCCAAGCTACCAATAAAATGTGAAAGTAGGAAAAAAAAAAAAGACATTTCCAGACATCAATGTTTCAAAACATCTACATCCTTTCTTAGGATGCTTCCAGAGAATGAAGGAATAAACCAAGAGGAAGTCATGGAATACAGAAACAGAAGAGTCAATTCAACGGAAATAAACTGAATCTAAGAAAACAGCTATTCAATCATTATAGAGGGCAACGAGTCCAGGATGAATCAGGTCAGATGGCTCAGGAAAATGAAATTAACAGACTATTTGATGAAAATAATATCATGAAGTGAGAGGACAACACAGGCTTGAGTGAGTAAGTCCACATAATAAATAGTGATATACAGAAAATGGGTGAGTGCTGACAACATGTTTAGAAAGACAATTATTAACTATAAGGAATGAAGTAAATTATGCAGAAAAATGTGAAGCTAGGTCCAACTGAACAAAAGCTGAGTTCAAAGTCATAGTATAAAGCACCTCTTCTCCAAAGAGGCCACTGTTTGCTGGGAAAGATACACATAGGAAGCTGCACTATTTGTATAAATGCACAGCCTAGAAATAATTTATAGTCTAGAATCGGCCAAGAGTCAATTAATGATATATTGTAACAACAGTAAAGAGCTAAAAATAAACATTTTCAATAGAATTTTTGAATAATAATCTCTTATAATCACTGTAATTTGTTAGGCAAGAGAGGGATTAATTTTTCACATTCAGGGGTTTAATTTTTCATGCTCAGGTGTGATGCAAAGTTTAAGTCAGCAACAGAAGCAATGTGAAAACCGGAAGTGCCTGCAATCAAGCCCTAAGTGCCCATAGCAGGGTGGCTCTCAAATTTCTTAAGTAAAGCAACTCAATGGAGCATCAAGAAAGCGGAGGATAAGGGTAAAGCAGTTGCTGCTGGAGTCACTCCTGTTCAGCCCCATTTCCAGCAGCAAGCTTCTCTGTGGAAGAGCTTTAGAACACATGCACAAGCGCAGGAGCAGGTCCTCACAGGGCTGGAAGAACCCCAGCCTAAGCCCCATTACTGAAAACATGGCTTTGGGCTTCTACTAGTCTCGCTAAGAGACTACTCTTGCTTACAAAACTCTAGAAACACTCTCCCTTCAACATTAATCAAGTGCTACAATCCTTTACATGTATTCACCAACCTCAGCAGTTATATATCATTTTCTTACAAAATAGTTATTGAGCAGTTAATACAGATTTCTATGACTAGCACTATTTCCTAAGATTTAAATTTGAAGTCTTACTATCAAAAGAAATGTTTATTTTATTTCAGAGTCAGCCTATTTGGTATCCTCTCTTATTATCATCATAAAAATACCTATTTGTCCCTGTTCCAGGGCACTTTCCACACAGCCAGATGGCCCAGGCTTACCACTTCCACTACATCCAAACAGTGTTTCTTACCATTTTGAGAAATTTCGCATAATTGGCACAGTCTGTACCCAGGATATCACTCACCATTTGGTGAATACAGCAGAAGCTTACTTAGAGTAATTTAATGATAAAGAATAGACATGTGTTTGATGTGTGTTCCAAGAGCCAGCTAACTAATCTGTAAAAATTTGGTTTAAAGCATTCAGACTTCCTGAAGTTGGTCTGTTACCAAATCATTTCTAATCTTCACTTTTCAACAATCTTTAGGCACATTCTTGTGTAAACATTAAAACAGCAATAAGGAACAGCTTCTGAGTGAGTCATAAGCTCCTTTAGTAAAGTACAGCTTGAAACTAAAAGTCATTCCTGCTCTGCATATTGGTTACTTTCAAAATGAATTAGATTCTATACCGTATATCTCACAGGTGGAATTTAAAACAAACAAAAAAACCTGAATTCATAGATAACAGAGCATGGGTTAGTGGTTATGGCGGATGGGGAGTGTGGACAAAATGTGTGAAAGTGGTCAAAAGGTACAAACTTCTGTTGTAAAATAAATAAGTCCTAGAGATGTAATGTACAGTATGGTGACCACAGTTACTAATACTGTATTATATATTTGAAAGTTGCTAAGAGAGTAGGTCTTGAAAGTGCTTATCAGGAGAAAACAAAAAAACTTTGTAACTATGCCTGGTGAAGGATGTTAACTAGACTTTAACTAGACTTATTGCAGTGATCATTTTGCCACATATACATAAATAAATCATGACATTGTATACCTGAAACTAAAGCTGTGTATCAATTATACCTCAATTTTTTTACAAAAAAGAATTAGATTCTGACATTTACCAGAGTTTTTAGACTTTTATGAATACACAAACCTTATGAAGTGCAAATATCAAATTCTGGTTTACAGAGAAGCAGGAAGACATAACAGAAATCACAGTGGCATGGAATGATGATGCCACCTTGACGTCTTGGATACTCTGACTCAGCTCTTTTGATTAGCAATTGATAATTTTTTCAGCTTTGCTCCTATTTTCTTTTGAGAAAAACAAAAATCTCTAACATCTGCCAGTGAATCCTTTCAAGTAGTGAAGGCAATGTGTTTGGCAATCTGTTGCTTGATGAAGGGAAATAAGCACTGATTGTCAGCCACTGGGACAAGGATACCAAATAATAAATGATATGACATCCACTCTGTAACCTCAAAAAAGTCAACTGCAAAACTTTCAGCTACCAGGACAGCCTCTGCTATTGCTACCAAAACAACAACACAGGCACCAAGCAATGGTACAAGAGGCTCCACCAATCCCATAGCGAACTCACACATTTTTCCCCTAAGGATAATTATTTCCCCATTTCAGCTTGTTCTTTCTCTTCAAATTTAGCCAAAGCATATGGAACAGTTACATAAGTTCCTCTTGGGCACTGCAAGTATTCTCAGAAGCAGTACTTATTATTCTAGTAAACCTTTGTGGGGGGAAAAGTCCTAAAAAAAGTAAAGATATATGGGAAAAAAAAAAAAGAAAAAGACTAATGTTGGATAGAGCTAATCTTTGTGCACATAAAAATTGTTCTACAGTAAAATTATTAAATTGGCAAGGATTCACACTTGGGCAAAAAAATAAAATTTGCTTATGTAGGGGATAACCAGGAAAAAAATGCAATGGTATTCAAAACTGTTACCATATAAAAACTGGTAGAGTCTAAAAATGTAAGCTACTAAAAACCAAATCAGAGACTCTGGTTTAAATATGAATTCTGTCACTTACTAACAAGTTACTAACCCTCTTCTTAGCATCATCAATTTAGCCAACGCAATGCAAGTTGCTGTAGCATTATATACAGTAATAAACATAATTTCCCGTAGGTAAGGAGATAAACCTTCTCAATCTCATTAAGTTTTGTTTTTACAAGGAAAAAGTGTCTCATGTATGTTAATGACTTCTGCACTTGGTAAAATACTATAAAAAGTTTATTAACAATTATAAATATAACTAATTGATAACTTTTTAAAATCTTAGGCATATTTTGAAGATAAAGGAAATTATTTCTCTAAGTTTGGAAAAAACCTCGCTTGCTATGACTATGACTTAAAATGTAAAGCTTAAGTGACGAAACTCAAAATAATGTTTTTCACTTACTTTCAATATCCAAACTTGTCTGCATATTAATACCATCACAAATATTTTACTAGCAGATTCTTCCTTTGGTTAAGTCAAACAAGAAGCTGTTCTACGGTCAAAAGAAATACAGCTTCTCTTTTTAAAAGTAGCTAATCTAGGAAAATTTCCTGGTTTTTATTTATTTATTTGTTTATTTAATTGGGGGAGTAATTAATTTTTTAAATTTAATTTATTTTTTAATGGAGGCACTGGTGATTGAATTCCAGGACCTTGTGCATGCTAGGCATGCATTGTCCACTAAGTTATACCCTCCCTGCGACTAAATTTCCTATTTTGATGATGGTCCACAGTCTGAGGACAAACAGAAGAATGTTCTACATTGTAACAGAAGGGACCCATGTGTTGCTGTAGTTAACAGATGTGGGCAAACTTTACTTTTTACAATGCAAAAACTGGAGTAACCTCAATTTGGGCAAATTTTCTAAGGATTCTCTCATGTTATCTGCAAGATTTTACAAAGTAAAATAATAAAGCCTTAAGGAGTTTCTCTTTAACATCTGATGTCCTCAAGGTGAAAAATATTATTGGTTTTAATAGATTTCATTTCTATCACACTTACTCTTTTGTGATAAATGCTACAGAGGCCTCGCTCTAAGTCGGGCAATTTACGTAGATAATTTTCTATGTGACCAAGCACACTGGATTCTGAATGGAGAACTTCAGATACAGCATCAAGTCGAGCATTTATTTCCCTGTGAGAACAGAGTAATGGCAATTATCAGATACGTTAGGAACTCAGAATGCAGACATTTCCCACTCTAATGGCCAGCACTTGACAGCAGCCACTTAGAAATACACAAAGGAGACTCTTCCTCCTTATCTCTGGCCCTTCCCTGCCCCATATCATTTGAATTTAAGAGCAGGAACTATGCAAGGAAAGTCTTTGGCTATATGGGGCAGAGACTGGTTCCTTAAGTCTTTCTTTCCTCCAGGACAAACGCAGAAACTACATTTCCCAGTCTCCTCGGCAGTTAGGTATGGCTGTGTACCCAAGTTCTAGCCAATGAAATGTGGGTAGGAATGATTAAGCCACTTCTAACCCTGGCCCATAAAAACCTCCCATGAATCTTTCACATTCACTCCCCACGCCGCCACATTCACTCTTTTCCCCTTTGTCAAGTGAATGGTGAGCCCAGGGCAATTCTGTGAGCCACCTGCTAATTCTGTCAGCCTGGGTCCATGAGCAGAGCAGAAAACCCTCCATTCCCACATTAGCTACCAAATGAACTTTACATTAGCAAAAAATTAACTTCAAATGTATTTAAACCACTGAGATTGAGGATTTATTGGCTACC